ACTAATAAGTAATGTACGATCTACAGTTTCGAATGCTCTTTGTAAATCAAGAAATAGAGCACCAGTAATTAATTTATTATTTTTATTGTGCTTGAAGTGATCTAGGACATATTGTATTGCTGTTTCACAACTATGCTTTCCTCGAAAACCAGACTGTATACTATCAAATAGATTATTTTCTTCTAAGTAATGAATTAGTTGATTATATACAAATTTCTCTAATACTTTCTCTATTGTACTTAGCATATTAATCGGTCTTAAGTCTGCTGCTCTATTTGAATGTGATACTTTAGGAATTGGTATGATAACTGAAGTTTTCAAGGCTGTAGGAACTATATTCATTTCTAAGGAGGTGTTTATGATATTAAGCAATGGCAACGCTATGTTTGCAAAACAGTTTTTTAAAAAGGACGCATTTATTTCATCCGAACTTCCTTTATTAGGTAAGTCAAAAATAATTTCTCTCATTGTGTCAATGTCAATAAAGTTAAACTTCTTAAAAAACACATGATTATTCTTAGGTGCTACAGAAAGATTTCTATTATTACGATTTATATTAGAAATAATTTCTTTTATACTATCAATATAAAAGTTGTTAAGGGCATTGGGGATCTCAATTATATCTTTTATTATTAGATTATCATTTATCTCTATTTCCGTTAAGCTATTTTGTTTATTTTTAGGCAAAAGGTCTTTCATAACTTTCCAAAGTTTAACAGAATTTTGTTTATTTTCACTTATTTGTCGTTCATAATATTTACTTTTTTCTTTTCTAATAACTCTAACTGCTATGTTTCGATTTTGTTTGTATATTTGCCTATTTTCTTCAGTTTTGTTAGATACATAACTTTAATAACTATCATCCCTATTCCTGATAGCATTTCTGACTTCCTGATTCCACCAGTCTTTATAATTAGAAAATATCTTAACAGGTCTTTTTGGTGCCACCTCATCAAATACTGTCATTAAATTTTGGTAGAAGTTATTATATCTCTCATTAATATTGATAGTATAATTCCAATTGACCTGAGACAACTTATAATTTATTTTTTCAAAATCAATTACTCTACCTCGACTTTCTATTATTTGAGACTCCTTATTATTAGTTGGTTGAAAATCTCTATACACTTCGACATTAAAATGGGTACTTATTTTAGGAGTGAGACAAATTTCAGTCCTTATGTTTAAACAATTGGTTATTACTAAGTCAATAAGAGTGCCTCCATTGTTATTGTTAGCAGGATGAGTAATTTGAGTTACTACATTTCTAAAATCTGTATCACTAATACAGTTTCTTAGTCTAAAACTATTTGAGTTATCAGATAGCCAATCTATATTAAAATCCCCCGTTACAATTATCTTATATCTACTATCACATAAAAAACTATCTGAAAAACTTTCAAAAAAATCCAAAAAGTCTGAACATATACTGTTAGGTGATCTGTATAAACTAAAAATTAAATGAATACAGTTTTCAAAATAAAATTTCAGCATTATCACCCAATATTTTTTTTTTGGACACTAAATTGTTTACAAGACAAAACCGTTATTTGACCTGCAGTCACTATCTACTCTGTACATATCAAAATTATTTATTGTAATTTCAGAATCAAAAATATCCTCTGTAAGTCGTGTTTCAGACAAGCATACTATCCACGGTCTTTTTTCCACAACTAATGCAGATATTTCATCAAAATGACAAGGCAAACTTTGTGCATTCATTGCCAATATAAAGCATATTTCATTTGAACGATTAGATACATTATCTGTTAAATTATTAAAACTCATAACTCTAGTTGCTAAATCTCTATGATTTCTGAAGAGCGCGTCAGAAAATTTTCTTGGTGATTTATTTTAAGAAATTTTAGATTATTATGAGGCTTTGGCTTGTTTAAGTTTTCTAATAATTTGGCAACCAGTGCATTTTTAGACAAAAGCTTTCCGTTTTTGTTATTAAAATCTATATATTGAGCAGATGATTCTGTACATTTATTTAATTTAAAAAGATATTCATTTAGCCTATAATTAAATTTATAAATAAATTTGTTGACATTAAAATCATTACAATAAGGTATTGATAATAAAAATAAATTTGTATGTAGGCAAGACTTCAGCTTACTATTTAAATTTCTAAATGATGGAAATCTTTTATTCCTAAAATCATTTGAACCCTCTATTATAATAACAGTATCATTTAATGTATAATTCTGTGTTAACTGTGGCAAACTTTCAATTATATTATGATAACAAGCAAAGGGTTTAATAATGGTTTGTACACTGGCATTTTTGTAACGATTCCTTAACATTTGACCCAAATTATACCTAAATTGATCACAAACAATTAAAATCTTGCATGCCTTCGGTTCATTTACCGTATTTGTAGCAACTTGAATGGGATCCTTTATGATTCCGTTGTTCTCTGAGGATTTTTCATTACAGCTTTTTGGCTTAATATTGGAGTTTCTTGATGTAGAGATTTTTAATTGTAATTCCTGTCTCAAATTGTTTAATTCCTTCAGATAACTATTATTTTCCTGTTCCAAAATTTTTATTGGCTCTACCATTTGTCGACTAATCTGCTCTAATTCCATAATTCTATTTTCCATTGTCAAAACTAATTGATTTTTATTTTCCAATTCATTTTCACACAATTTTACAGTCTCCTGTAGTTCTGTAATTCTGCTTTTTAAATTCAATATCGTATCTATTTGATTCTTTAAATTCTGTGCATCTCTGCTTTCTAACTCATCTTCAAAGTCCTGAGTCTTTTTCTTTAGCCGCTTTATATAGTTGTCTTTTTCCCGATTTACACTTTCTAGCTCCTTGATTTTTAATTGTAATTCTTCGATTTGTTCTTGTGAATGCAAGCTTTTCTTATGCCGTGATAGTCGGTGTACAAAATTACCATGGTCAAAATCACGATAAGAAATTACGAACGGCCTATGAATCTTTGCAAGTAGTTTTTGATTTTTATTGTTTTATGTTCTGAAGTTGTTGCAGATATTTAAACCTACTAAAAAAGTGAAGATCGTATTTTTACATACGATCTCACTGATGCAATCGTACATCGCCATCGTGCAGCGAGTTAAAAAATCGTATAAATACGATTTAAATCGTACGGTTGGCAACACTGAGACAGACAGTAGACGTGGACAGCAGTGGACAGTTTGTAAAAATAAATGTCAGTTTTATGTATATCGAAGAATCCTGAATTTAAATTTAAATTTTGAGTTCATGATTGTGTTATCCTCTAGATGAACTAAGCGAAATAGTTGTGGCTGTTTTTGTGTGAAATTTAAGAACAGTAATTATATTTTGTAATATTACAATAAGTCGGAGAACGTATTGCATTAGTAACACATGCCACATGAACAAATTTAACAATCCCAATGTGGCTTGAAAACGTTAGAAAGAAGATTTGATATAGGAAGAAAAATATCTGAATTCCCATTATTGAATTTGCACTCAACCTTTTTAAATAAGATACCAAAATAAGAACAAAAATGCAGTGTTACAAATAACAATCAAAAATTTAAAAATATTTGTCATGAATATAGATTTACAATAATTAATCGATAATAGACTGTAACAAAAATGGCAGAACGCTCAAGGCGAAAAAATTCTTCCAATGTGCCTTTTTAAATTTTGACCCCACACAAAAATAACATCTTTACAAGAAAAGTTTTTGTCAAATAACAAAACTAAATTAATAAAATTAATTAATTAATAATACAGCAACAGAAAACGCCGCAAAAAATAAAATTATAAATGCAGTTACATGAATCGTCAAATATAAAAAAATGTCATTGTTGTTGTTGGACAAGACTTTGATCTTTTGGTTCTATTAAATCAATTAAATTAAAAATTACCAGAGGACTTCAATAATTGTGAAGAAATGATTAAAACAAATAAGGAAGAAAATCATTTTAATCGAGGGTCGGACAATGAAGATCAAATGACGAAAAGAGCAAGATTGACCTAGTACATTTTTCATCTATTTTGATATCAAAAAACTGAATTTTAAATACATTCATGAATTCATCAAAATTTTAAGTTTTAAATTGAATGGGTGCAATCAGATTTGCATTTTTTTTTTAATTGAAACAAATATCAATAATTATTAAGGAATAATTCATTATTGCTATTGTCATTTTTTGTTTTTATCCATTTTTAAGCATGTTTTTTAATGGTTAATTTTTAGTGACATAGGTGTCTCAAATAAAACATGACCTTGATTAATATTCTGTTATTTTTATTGTTCGCTAAATGTATCGAATATTTTAAAATTTGATTCGACATAATTTTGACATTAATAATCAATTGATTAAAGCCCTCGAGCTAAAGCTCTGGAACTCTAATCATATTATTAAGGCCAAAATTATATCTCGGCAAATATTCTCGAGATTTAGACGCAACAAAAATAACTGACTATGTATATTTTTTTATTTTTCAAAAACGATAAAAAATGGGTCAGGTACTCATTTTTTGAACTTTATACGATAATTTTTCACTGTAAAATTTCTTTATGTTTTGAATTGAAAATTTCGAAATCTTTTACATTTTGCTATTTAAAAATTTGTGCTTATTTAAAACATGCAAAGATATAACTTCATCAGAATTAAATTATTTTTGGAGTAATGAAAAATAAAAAACGAAAAAAAAATTGGAAGCATCTTTTTCGTTTTTACCGAAAATATTGGAGTTATGTTAAACCTGTAGATTTTTGCTTGATTTAAAACTTTTGCATTATAAATTTTTGTTTTCGTCATCAACTGTCGCCGGAAATCGCAATAATAGCTTTTTTTACCCCTTTTGAATCCCCTAAAACTTTATCTCGACCCCCCAAGTTGCATTTATTTATTTTATTTATTATAAGCCCCTCTACCATTTACACTCATTAAAGTCCAGTAAACAATATTTTTTCTCTCTAAATCTCTAAATGACTGATTTAGTTAATAAAATAATATAAAAAACTGTTGGACATTTCAAATTTACAATACCTGGTTTGAGAATCGGCGCAATCTTGCTTTCTCCTTTATTAGTAGAAGACGGCAGAGCAATGATGGGTTTTCCTTTTCCATCCAATCCCTCAGCTGCGCCTCTAATGAAGTCGACCTGACCACCAAAACCTGAATACATTCTTGTACTGATAGAATCCGAACAAATCTGACCAGTCAAATCGACTTCAATGCACGAATTGATTGCAGTCATCTTGGGTTGTCTTGCAATTATTCCTATAAAAGTAATTTATTATGTTTATTAACGGTTTTACAAAATTTACTAAAGAGTAAGTAAGTACGTAAAGTAAAGTAAAGTAAAGTAAAGTAAAGTAAAGTAAAGTAAAGTAAAGTAAAGTAAAGTAAAGTAAAGTAAGTAAGTAAGTAAGTAAGTAAGTAAGTAAGTAAGTAAGTAAGTAAGTTAGTAAGTAAGTAAGTAAGTTAGTAAGTAAGTTAGTAAGTAAGTTAGTAAGTTAGTAAGTAAGTAAGTAAGTAAGTAAGTAAGTAAGTAAGTAAGTAAGTAAGTAAGTAAGTAAGTAAGTAAGTAAGTACGTAAGTAAGTAAGTAAGTAAGTAAGTAAGTAAGTAAGTAAGTAAGTAAGTAAGTAAGTAAGTAAGTAAGTAAGTAAGTAAGTAAGTAAGTAAGTAAGTAAGTAAGTAAGTAAAGTAAGTAAGTAAGTAAGTAAGTAAGTAAGTAAGTAAGTAAGTAAGTAAGTAAGTAAGTAAAGTAAGTAAGTAAAGTAAGTAAGTAAAGTAAGTAATTAAAGTATGTACAGTTCATCAAATTTCTAGAGGCTTTCGACGGCTAGACAGAGAAAGCACTACTGACAGGCATCCCGACGGATTTACGCAATGAAAGTACACTCTGCGCATCAAGTATTTCACTATTTCATTCAGACGTAAATGTCAGATGTAAATTTCGCTAAAACATTTCTTTTATTTTCGTTTGTGTTTTTTGCTCATTACAGTTTAATAGAACCTAAGTATGGAGTTTAATAGCAAATTAAGAGGCCGCGTGATTAACAGTCAATCTCGCGAAATAATAGCCAATGTTATAGAGTTTATGAGAAGGAAACTTTAATTCACCTTCAATACCATTTAAAAATGTATATGATCGTGTTGCTCAAGCCACAGGAGTATCTAAAAACACTGTCGTCCGCATTTCTAGAGAGAAAAAAAGAATCGATAACCGTGAGATATCGGAATTTTCATCACCAAGAAAAACCATTAAAAAACCAAAAACAGTTAATGATATAGATGAAGCTGCACAAGAATCAAATTTTATTTTTTTATTATTAGATAGCTATTTTTGTTTCTGAGTTGTGTTCATTTACAGGCTCAATTTTTTTCCGTTTCTCCTTTTTGATTTTATATGGGGTTTCAAGTTGTTTTTGACTTATTTCGACGTAAATCACAACAACACACTTTTTTAATAAAGCTAACAAGTGTTAAGAGGTATATGTACGTATAAACTACAATTACAAAAAATTGATATGAAACCCATGAAACCACCAACAAAAATGTAAAGCTAGCTTCCGTACTAGAACATGGTGTCATTCGTCGAGATAATTTATCGTTTTGTTTAATAGATCAAGAAATGTAAATATTCCCCTGTTATTTTTTATAAAATTATAAGAGAAATAAATTTTTTTCTTAATAGTATAGTTTATTATTTTGTAGAAAAACAAAATTTCGAAAAATTTAGTAATGTTTCAGAAACATTATTAATAATAGGTACCATTTTCCTTAATAAGGTAGAAATAAAATATAAACTATTTCCACGATTTACAAAGGCCTACAAAAAAATTATAGGTATTTTCCGCTATCCTATAAAATTTATATTTTCTGACTCAATTTCAAAAGGTTGAAGGAATTCCAAAACACCTTTTATGGCATAATAATTATTTTCAATTCTACATACTATCTTTTGCTGCTTTTAAAAACGTTCTAAGAAAGTCCAATCAGACCAATTTAATCCCTAAACTATTCCACACTTTTAAAATTTAATTACCTAAAAATATTAAAAACTATTTAAAATAACTTGTTTAGCAGACTGTACAATAGCTATCTTAGTCACACGTAGCGCGTTCTCTGTCTGGGCGTCGAACACCTCTAGAAATTTGATGAACTATAAGTAAGTAAAGTAGGTAAGTAATTAAAGTATGTAAGTAAGTAAAGTAGGTAAGTAATTAAAGTAAGTATGTAAGTGTAAGTGTTAGTAAGTAAAGTAAGAAAGTAACTAAGTAAGTAAGTAAGTAAATAAGTAAGTAGGTAAGTAATTAAAGTAAGTAAGTAAGTAAGTAGGTAAGTAATTAAAGTAAGTAAGTAAGTAAAATGAGTAATTAAAGTATGTAAGTAAGTAAAGTAAGTAATTAAAGTAAGCATGTAAGTGTAAGTAAAGTTAGTAAGTAAAGTAAGAAAGTAACTAAGTAAGTAAATAAGTAAGTAAGTAAGTAAGTAAGTAAAGTAAGTAAGTAAGTAAGTAAGTAAGTAAGTAAGTAAGTAAGTAAGTAAGTAAGTAAGTAAGTAAGTAAGTAAGTAAGTAAAGTAAGAGTCAAATATTTAGCCCGAATTTCTTTAATACAAAGGCGAAATAGAGTTTAAAAAAGAAGAAACAACAAATGCCTACTGACGTACTGATTTTTGTTTTAACGGTTTTTTGATTAGTGTTTGAGATATTGGCTCTATATTTGAGATTTTTAATTTTAAAATTTTTGTTTCCCATTTTATAAATAAAATAATACATTTTAAGGTTGTATCCAATAAATTTATTTCACTTAAGCAGCATATTAATTTAGTAATACGCCATTTACCAATAGTTTAGGATATTCGAGCATTAAAAGGTTACATGACAGAAACGTCAATGCAAGGAAGAATTATCTAATTATAAGCTTTACTTACCCGTGTTATTTACATAATCTACGACCAACATTTCAACGAACGGATTGTTGTCAACAAAATCGTAAAGATCTTGCGTTCCGATCAAGAATGAACCGACTATTCTTCCTTTATGGATAGACTTTTTGTTGTTCGTAACGCATCCTCTGTTAACTAGATCTATTACTCCACCAGCGAACATTTCGGAATGGATTCCGAGATCTTTGTGATTCGTTAAGGCCGCTAGAACAGCGTCTGGAATGCTACCAATTCCTAAAATAGTAAATAAAAGTATATTTGAAGAGTCCAAAACGAAAAATAATGAAGGTCGGTAAAAGTTAATTATTTTTACATTAAATTTTAAGTTTCAAAACCAAAATACACTTAGAGTGAGAATATTAAGGAATGAGTTAGTAGCCATTTTGTGCAACATTTATTGGATAGTATGTGAAAAACGTCATATCTTTGTTCTTATTCTACTTAACAAATGTCACACACTGACTGTTTTTGCTGTTTGCCTGTAACATTCATCGTTTTTGCAGTGTATAGTATACCTTTATTTGTTTCTGAAATAACTTCGTATCTATGAGCTTTATGGCTGTGTAATTCAGTTTAGCACATACTACAGACTATCAGCTATTAGAAAAAAAAATGAATTGTTTTTACTACGAGTTCTTCATTTAATGGTTTATTGAGAAATATTATTAATATTTCGGCATCCTTATTTAATGTATCATTTTTTACTTTCCTGTCTTTATACAGGAATAAGAATAAAATGGTCAGTATTCAAAAAATTTGACAAAAAGTGTTAAATTCAAATTTTTAAGAAAATTGTTCAACTAAAAGTTATTTGTGATATCATTCTCTATAATTTTTGTCACTTACATATTTTTCTAAAATGGTCCATATTCGAGATATTTGAGAAAAAGTGCAAATTCGAATTTTGAAAATAACTTAAAAACGGATAAAGAGAAAATTACCAAATTTTAAATTTAAGTTTTGATCGATCTTGCGATGAACTTATTAAATTTTAAACACAGTCGGAACATCTGGGGAAATACTTTATAGAGGATCGTTTTTCTATTTTATAAAATAGGAAGAGGGGACACAGTGTTACACGGGGTACAGTGTTAAACTTAATGTCGTGACGTCATTACCTGAATAACACCGGTGCCATTCAAGTCAAAATTAGTTTCAGTTACGTTCGATGCTTCGATGTGTTTACATCAATTTCGGAAGTGTTTTGACTGATTTATTTGTAGTATTCATTTTTATAACTCTAATGTAAAATAAGGACAGTTTACCTAATTTTTGGTTCTACTCAATACTGGTTTATATATAAATTTATTTAGTCAGACATAATTTTAATAAAGGATGGTATAGCTCTAATAAGGTGCAAATCTTAGGTTAAAAAAAAAAGGATGTTGATGTGAAACCAATTTCTTTGTGAAATCGATGTATGGGGCGCAATGTTACAGCTAGCAGTCGGGCGCAGTATGACAGTGCAACATTGTGCCCCATTATTTTTAAAAACATTTAAATCGCGAGAATGATAATGACTTGCTTGTTTCTTAAACAATTTATTATTATTTTCAGAAAATATTCAAAATGGTGCGAAACCAGAAGGAAAATAAAAAAATTGTTCTATTTGATGGAGAAACAATGAAGCATGCAGCGCTAGAAGTTATCAATAATAGAAAATCGATCAGGCCAGTTGTCATATCTGAAAATTTGGTATTAAAAAGATATGTGGACAAATATAAACAGTGGTCAGAAAAAAATAGGGCCATTTTTAAGTTTGAGCCAAATTATAAAGTTAATCAAATATTTCCCAAATATTTAGATGTTTTGAAAACTTATCTCGTTGAAGCTTGCAAAATGCACCATGAATTAACAAAAAAAAAATGTTGTGGATCTAGCATACTAACTTGCCATAAGAAATGATTTGAACATACCAGATTCGTGGCATCGACGTCAGCAAGCTGGAATGGATTGGTTATATGGTTACATGAAGCGTTATCCAGAACTATCACTTATGAAGTCTGAGGCCACAAATCTTGGACGTGCAACAAGTTTCAATCAAACTACTGTAAACGAATTTCCAAACGGTCCATTTCCAAAAAACATATAATTTGGATGAAACTGCCCTAACAACGGTACATAATCCTCCAAATATAATAATTGGACAAAAAGGCCTAGAACAGATTGGACAAGTAACATCTGGCGAAAGAGGTGTGTTGGTTACTGCTCGGGAAATTCGGTTCCTCCGTTTTTGGTGTTCCCACGCGTACATTTTAAAGATAGAATGCTAATGGGGGCCCCTCCTGGAACTGGGAGTTCAGCTACAAAAACTGGATGGGTCAATGGAGAAGTTTTCGTAGATATTTTAAAACATTTTCAACGTTTTGCTAAAGCAACTAAAGAGGCGCCCATACTTCTTATACTAGACAACCACCCAGACAGCACACCAAATCCCAGAGATATCCACAGAATATCTTTTTTGGATATCCAATATATCCACAGGATATCAGAAATATTCCGTGGATCTAATATGGATATCCAAATGTCCGTCTATATCCAGAATATAGAAGATATCCTAATGGATATTCAGCAAAATATCTAATGGGTATCTTCCAAAAAATACAAGAAATCCCAGAGATATCCACAGAATATATTTTGTGGATATTCAATATATCCAATATGGATATCCAACCAAATGTCCGTCTATATCCCAGGATATAGAAGATATTCGGATATTCAGCAAAATATTTTATGGGTATCTTTAGTAGAGGTTCATAAGTAACCAATGATTATTGAATAACGTCGAAAGAAAATAGCAGAGATAAAAAATATTTTCAACACTCTGCCTTCGATTTTGCCCACTAAGGAGAAAGTCATCCTTATTAGGACTCTTCAGCAATAAATGAAAATTCTCGACTCCAGTCTCTAATGGAGTAATTAGGACAAAAATTTCGATCAAACTCAATTACGGCGGGTCGAGCATGAGTAGATGCGATAGTGGTATCGCCATCTATACTTAGTAAGCAGAATCAAATAACATCTAGTGGATATCCACGATGGTTTGCGTTCGTGCCTAGACTTTGATATATTTAGTGGATGTTCATGGGATATTGAATACACCTTAAAAAAATTAATTTTAAATATCTGAACGGTACTATTATCCACAATGGCGTAATTTTTTAATAATTTGCTATATAATTACTATTATTTATGGACTTTTGCATGTCTATAAATTACATTTCATGGATATAAAATAGATATCTACCATGGACTGGACATTCAGTGGATATTGGGGTGTTCAGTAGATATCCAAAGGATTTGGTGTGCTGTCTGGACACGAGTCATATATAACCATCGATTCCTTAGAATTTTATAAAAACAACGGTATAATTCTTTTGACTCTACCACCCCACACCAGTGGAAAACTACAGCCGCTTGATAAAACGGTATACAAGTCTTTGAAGACAAATTTTAATGAAGTTTGTAATGATTGGATGGTCATGAATCCTGGAAAGACCATAACAATTTATGAAGGTGCTAGTTTGCTTGGTAAAGCGTATTCATTAGCATTCACTCCCAATATATTATAAATGGAATTTAGATGTATTGGAATTTGACCACTAAATAGAGATATCTATACATATGTTGATTTTTTTGGCATCGGCTGTTACGGATAGACCACATGCATCTTCAGTTCAGACAACTAATATGGAAGCTGAAATTGAAAATTTAGGAATTCAAGAAGACAATGAATTTGAGCCACCTTTACATTCTACTCCGCCACAATCTCCGATTCCGTCTACTTCAGGACACTTCCAATCCTCTGTTCTGGTACAGCCGAGTAAAAATTCTACTTGTCTTGTAATGCCCACGGAAGTTCGACCTCATCCGAAAGCATCGGAGAGGAAAAACAAAAAACCCGATAACGCAAAAGTGAGATTCTGACTGAAACTCCAATTAAAGATAAAATCATTGCAGACGCGCAGAAAGTGACGCAAGTGTTGCCCATTTTGTCAGTGATGATGAGGAACAGATAGATTTTCATCAAGAAATGGAATTCAATGACGGAGATTATGTTCTCATAAAAGAAGGTATTATGAAGGGACACAAAGTTATATATTATATCCGTCGATTACATCCAACCTTCAAATTTGTTCATACTCTTGAAGAATATTCTTTTGACTTGGCCAAGGTTCTATCAAAATTTCCTGCTCCAATATGAATATAAATTATGATAAAATTATCAACATCTTGAATGAAAGGAATTGGAAATATTCTATAGTTGATGTTCTAGCAGATTTTTTTCTAGATAATGTATTATCAGTAATTAATTTTATAGCTTCTACAAAATATATTCAAGTGCATAATGTAGATAATAAGTGGTTTGACAATAAATGCAGAAAAGCCGTTAAAGATAAAAAAATATAAACATTTACATTTACAAATTATGCAGAAGAAGTATACACTAAAAAGAAATGAATGCGGTCGGAGCTCGAGGGAAGCCAAACGTAATTTTTATGAAATAAATATAGATAAGAACAAGGGAAATCCAAAGTTAATGTGGAAACATCTTAAACGAATAGTTGGAACAAAAAATTCGACAAACTACATTAATAGTTTGGTGAAGGGACAGAATATAATGAGAATTTTGGTGAGGTTTTAAATCAATATTACGTGGGTAGCATTCAGAATATTGTGTTAACTATTGATATAAGTGATGCTGACTTTGAAGCTTGCTTGAAAACAATTCTCTTCAACGAATCATCAATGATGATGAAGTTTCTTTATTTATTTATACATTGTTCAACAGGTTAAACCCAATTACAGAACAGGAGTACATTAGGAAAAAAACATGTTTAACAAAAAGCATATAGATAATTAAACTAAAATTACAGTAAATAAATTCTAAATTATTTTAAACAATGTGTTTTTATGTTTTTAACACTGCAGTTAAATATATCCAACTGTTCACTAATATTATTATAATTATTACACATGTTATATACAGGCGAAAACTTCAGAACGTTTGCTCGATGAGTTGCTATGTAAAATGATTCGGTGTTTCGAGAGGTTGCGCTGGGGATTCTAAAATTAAGCATATATAAAAGAGCTTCACAATTTATTTTAAAATTAACAACTTTGCAGAGGTTAATTATGGAGAAATACTTCCATCTTACGTCAAGACCAATCGGTGGATAAATTTGGTCCGCCCGAAAACTTAAGTATTTAAGGAAACGACTTTGTGTGGACTCTATCCGACAAATGTATATTTGATAATAAGGATCCCAAATAAACGAGGCATATTCGAGTTTAGATCGAACAAATAGAAATACAATAGTTTAATAGTATCTATGTTTTCAAAATTACGGCCCACTCGTACTATGAATCCATACATACAATTTACTGCTGTTGAAATGTTATCTATGTGGTATTTAAACAAAAATACTGAGTCAAATGTAACCCTTTAATCCATAAAATTGTTGGGTCTAGGCAGCAAACGTCCATTAAGAACAGTTACCCTAAGCAATTTATATGAAGTAATTAAAACTCAAAAAAAAGAAGTTTAGTACAGATGAGATAAGTTTTGACATCATTAAGAATCTATTTCATGTACTTGGTTATCCATTACTTTAATAAATACTAGTTTGGATAAGGGTATTGTTCCACAGAGATTTAAAACATCAACAATTATTCCAATCCCAAAAATAGCTAATACAAACAAGGCAGATCAGTTGCGACCCATAAATATGCTTCCATTTTGTGAAAAACTTTTAAAAGTAGTTGTGTACAATAAAATCATGGATTTTATAACTTCAAATAAAAGACTATGCAGTTATCAATCGGACTTTAGGAAAGCACATTCTTGTGAGTCGGCTTTACAATTAGTTGTTTCAGATATGAAAAATATTCTTGATAAACCAGGAGTTGGTATCTGCGCAGTTTTTATTGATCTTAAACGTGTATTTAAAACGACAGACCATAACATTTTACTTCAAAAATTAAAAAATATGTATTTAGGGAAACTGTCCATGATTGGTTGTATAATTACTTATTAAATAGATATCAAGTAACTAAAATTAGGTATCAAATCCAGAATTAAATACTTTTGGGGTACCGCAGGGAAGCGTGCTTGGACCCTTACTATTCATACTTTATATAAATGACTTGGGTCAAGTTCTTAAAAAATGTAAAATACAACATTTTGCAGATGATACCTTTATCTATTATTATGGGGATGATTTTGCTGAAGTTACTGAGACTGTCAACCAATTGGGATTATTAACATCTAAATTCAAACAAAATAAATTAAATGTTATAAAATAAATAACGGTATTAATGGCCCAAGAAATAAAGTATTTAAGGGTTATGTTGGATAGAGAACTAAAATTTAATAAACACCTTGAGTATATCTGTAAAAAAGTAGAAAAAAATAGTGTTACTTGCGTATCCCAAATAAAAAATGTTTCACTCTAACCGTATCTTCATAACTGGATTCGTGATTAGTCCTCCGATGATACTCAACATTTATACCAACCTCTTGTATAAAACAGAATTGGTTTACTATATCTGCTTGAAGCAATAATAATTGATACATGTTTTGTATAACACTGCGCCCCCTCTTCCCCTATATCTGTTATTTACGTTTGGAAAAGAAAATTCATCAAATAAAAGTTGCTTGTAATATTATTCTCTATAATTTTTGTCCTATACATAATTTTCCTAAAATGGTCCGTATTCCAGAAATTTTACTAAAAGTGCAAAATCTTAATTGAAAAAAGTCTTACCCATTTGGAGTGTGGCTCCATCTTCAACTAAATTTTCTGCAATATTCTTTCCGATTTTCAATTCAACTTCGGTTGGAGGTTTACCACCGTGACTAGGTAAAGGAGCATCAACTTTAACAGCATAGTCAATGTGACTAATATGGATAATTCCATCACCAAAAGTCCTGGGCATCCTTGGGTTTACTTGAGCTTAAAAAACAAACAACCAACATAACAACGATAACTTTAAAATGAATTTAAAATTATAATTTTCAACGACCATTAATAAAGAAAACCGCTTTCCAGCATCGATTACCACGTTTATGGTAGGTAAATTAATAAACACTTGAAAATAGGAGAAAAAATAAACAAATGTACACGAAAAATAATCAATGTGTTCTAGAATGGATCTGCATCCTCCTTAAGCTATGACCATTATGCATTACATTAAATGTTTCAGATATCAGAAGAATGTCAATAACTAAATAATTATTTTTCTTTCAAAAAGTTTTAGTTGCACTTAATTCAATTTCTTTCTGAATTTAATTATTTTAAGTTTTATAAACCTTACCAGCAATAATTTTTGAATGGGACATTCCCGCCCTTACACAATCCACACTGGTTCCCAAACTGCAGAATCCATGTTGATCCGGGGGAGATACCTATAAATATTAAAATATTATTAAAAAATGTTAACGTTGAATAAGATATACATATATTTGAATATGTATTTCAAGCATAATGTAAATAATTGTACCGATACTATATAGAGGTATTTGAGATAGAGCTTGAACGCCGTCTGACCCGAACTAGCACATCAAATTTCTGTCTAGGAGTCTGGAGAGTCTATTCGTGATGAAAAGACACTTGTCTAGCATATAAAGATGTCTGGGTTCGATTCCCGGATTATTTTCAATCTCGTTTTCACTTATAGGGTTCAAGGATGTTCTTAATACTTTGTAAGGAGATTTTTGAGTTTTGATTCCGAATTTTCAAATTATTCTATAAATATTTAATTCAATGGGCTTCACTGCAGATTCTAACTTTCTTCAATTACATTTCTACGTTATTTTAAAAATACATCTAAAATAAATAATAGGGGTAAAATAATATATTATTTAGAAATAAGATGTTTCTAGAAGAATTTAAAAATGGGATACATCAAAGTAGAAATTAGAGAATAGAAAATAGAAAATGTAAATCTTTAGGATTAATTCTACAAGCAGAACAATTTGTAAGAATTTAAAAGATAGTACGTCATCTGCAAAAAGTGGCACATATTTTTTGCTTACTCTTTATAGTTGGATACAAATGAGGAGGTGAAAGACATGTACTGTGTTCTGTAGGTGGGAGAGGTCATTGTGACCTGTGAAATTCAAAAAACAACTGTTTATCGATGAATTTTTCCTTTTTGGTGGCATTGAAGTATATGCTTCTAGACGTCAATAAAAAAAATCCTTTTGGAAGCTTTTTTTGTTGTCTGATTTTGGTACTACCATTTCGGCCACGTCACCGGTTTACCGTTTTCAACGAAATTCTTGATATAGCTTAAACTCGTTTTTTATCTGACTTATTTTTTGAAATAGGTGTAAAATCGGAATTAAAAGTCGAAGTGATTTAACTGCTCTCAAAATGTTTGTATAACTCTCAAATAAGAGGACTGCCCTTGCAATACCTTTGTATTTGGTGGTTCTTTATTTACCCAGGATTTTCGAGAAATAAAAAATGTCAAAATAATAGCTTTGATTTACGGGAACAAAACATAAAGAAAAAAATATTAAAAGAACCTAACTTCCGTAGTCACAAAGAAAACTGTAAATTTAATTTATGGGTGTCTAGCTTAATTTTTATAATTAATTGCCTTTATTCAGAATACTTTATAACAATTAGAAGTGGCTTGTTTTATATTGTTATTGTTAAGTGTAGATAATAAATAACTAAAACGATATTTAGTTTTTGTTGTATACAACTTCGAATCTATCTTTAGAACAATAGGTCATTAGAATTCTTCATTTCTTATCAAATAAATATTAAACAAAAAAATCAGTAGAAAAAAGTTCCATTTGCACTGAATAAATAATTAATTGTAAAATGTGGGAATTCAGACAACAATAACGAATAAATACAACTTTAACGTGTTATCGTGCTTTGTTTATAATTATCTAATGACGTATTTGAAGATTTAACAACAGTGAGTAAGAATCATTGATATACAGTGTCGGCTATTGAACGCATTCCAATACGCTTTGCTAATGTTCTAATGAAAATTACAGAGTTAGCATTAGTAAAGCAGGAATAGAATAATATAAACGTTACACTAGAAATAATTTTACCTGAATTACTGCTATATCTGGCTTCACGATCTGTTTGGTGAATAGTAATGGAATTTCTGACAAAAATATTGGAATGGCATCACCTCTACCTTCAGCAACCGCTTTCCTTACGTTGCCTCCCATGAAAAATGAACAAGACCTAATAAAAAGAATTGTTTAGTGTTTTGATGACATATAAATATAATTAGGATGTTTTTGTTACATTTTTATGTGGGTTATTAATGTATTTTTATCAAAACCTTTCTATTACCTATTCATATTTGCAGTGGTACAACTATTGCTGAAATAGATTATAGACAATTATAAAAAAATTTAAACGAGAAAACCCAAAGTTGGAAGATTTTCACTTTTATAAAAAAAAAATTAAAAATTCTTCATGACATTTTTTCAAAGAACAACTTCTTCAAATATGTGAATAATTTTTTTTTAATGTCCAGTGAAAATGTGTAGATCTTTCCTACTCCATTCTCGGATCTAAGCAGAGGCGTTCATAAAAGGGTTGGTTATAAACGCCTTCGAATGGGTTAGGGGGTATCTCTCCAGTTCGTCCATTTTGAGATAATTCCTTTGGCAGTGCTTTTTGCAATGCCCAGGAATGGTTCTGGTCCTATGAACACAAATTCGGTTCCTCTTTTAGCAAATGCGTCGGCTTTTACGTTGCCCTCCACACCACTGTGTCCCGGAACCCAGATCAAAGTAACTTTGTTCCGAGCACCGAGGCATTCTAGGGTATTTATACAATTCCAAACCAGCTTTGAGTCAACTCGATTGGAGCTCAGGGCTTTGAGGGCTGCCTGCCTATCTGAAAAGATCTTTATAGTCTTGTTTGTGGGGAGAAAATTGATCAACTCTCTCGCTCCCAATTCTATAGTAATCATTTCTACTCCTTTTTCAGTTTTGGAGCCGTCCGTGTATAACGCATAGTCTGCCTGGGAGAGGGTTTTTCCCCTCTGCTCCATACGTCTCTCTCTGGAATGAGGACGCTGTATGGCTTTTCTATGTGCTGTCGGGGAACTAGCGAGTCCGAGACCATGCCAAGAATGAGGTGGTTATTAATTTAACTCATCAGTCCCGTCTTGTCTCATCGCAGTTCTTCGTAACATTGACTACCCACCTTCAGGAGCCTGTAGGAGACCATCCTGGCCTCCCTTTCCAGCAGAATGTGGAGAGGGGTTAGGTCCAGCGTGATCTCCATGGCTCCCGTAGATGTGGTTGACATTGGAGATCACCTCTTCGAACTTACCCCTAATTATGATAACCAGATCGTCCGCATAGCATTGGAAATCCACCCCCCTGTCGGGAGAGATCGTCTAGCAGGTTATCAACCAGAATAGTTCACAGTAGGGGTGAAAATACGCCGCCTTGTGGGCATTCTCTGGCAGGCCTAAAAGTGAAGGGTTTATCTAATACAGCTCTACTTAACTTTTTTTCCTCCGGGCCACATGCATATGTAAACGGGCTGCTGTAATTTTAAGTGATGTAATTTTTTTAGGTTATCCATTTAAAATTAATGGGGACCTTATTTTACATTTACTGCTAATGTGCTAAATAAAATACAAAACTTTTTTTTTAATATGACTATTATTTTCTTCGCGGAGCACACTTTGTCACACTGGTCTATACAATAGGCGTTTTTGGAGAATGAGATTTAGGATGGATTGAGGGGAGGGCTTTTTGTGATGTATTGATGGAAGTAATTGATGCTGAAGTTTCGACGGCGTCGGAGATATTGGTTTGGATTTCAGTTACCAGTGTGTCGATGTCCTGTGGGAAATTGAGCGGGTGTTGCTCTGGAATATTTGCAGAGATAGTTCTCTGAAGTAGTGGCCAATCTGATTTTTTGAGTTTCCGGAAGGTGTATATTGTAGCTCACAATCAGTCCAGTACAGGAATCTGTCAAAAGGATGTGGTCGATAATAAATTATCATTGGGGGAGATATGGGGTAGTCGATAAGCAAATAAGCTAGGCGGATATCTTCTCTGAACATGGTATGTCTGGGAGTTCAGATCTCCAAGAAAAATAGCACGAGGAAGTGATCATGTGATGATGGATACTCTATCAGTGGAGTGGAGATGAGTTGGCCTAGGTGTTTGTAATGTGATACCAAAGTTAATGGAAGGTTTATTGCTATTATATCGAGGGCTGCTAGATGAGCAGGGTGTGTATGTTAAAATTTTTAATTAACAAAGCATTCCCAAAACAATTCTGGATTTGTTTTTGGGGACTGTTTGAAACCCAGTGAAGCTGGGTGGGAGTTTAGACTGTCTGTTAATGATAAAATTTGTAGATTTTCAGAATATAAAACGTTTTTGATAAAGGGCCTCTTCCGAGCCTAATAAAGGGTCAGGGCTTATTTGAGAATAAGCAAAAATAGCTAAATCTCCATGACCAGTGATGGTACATGAATGGCCGAAAATAACCGGAATTAGCGAACCCAATAGTTTGGCTAAAAGTTCTCGCCTGTTTGGGTGAAGATTCATCAGAAGAGTCGAGAATATTTGAATAGATTTTGCGCTCTCGTTAGGTCAAGGGGGGATTACGTTTTGACAGTGACAAGAGCTACCGGTTCGGGTTTTTGTGGTGGTTTTTGTGATGGTTTTTGTGGTGGTTTTGTAGTGGTTTTTTTGTCTTTCTGGGCGAGTGATTGAATAAGAAGAGTGGTTGGCGCGACAGTTCGGGCATTTTGAAACATCAGACTTTTTACAGTCTATTGGCCTATGTTCATTCGGATAGGTGGTTTCTTTAGCATTCTAAAGCAAAATACCCAATGCCAGTGCACTTGGGCATAAACTAACTAAAAGTAAACTAACTAATTAAAGTATTCAAGAAATATTTTAATAAAATTCCAATAAGGTATTATCATTACCGGGATTATCTCACAAAAAAACTAAAAACAGGTGAAAAGATTTAATAAAAGTCAGTTATTAATATATAACTGATCAATTAATAGGTTATCTAAATTTTTAAAACCTATTTATTTCAAGTGTTTCTAAATGGTTGAATTCACTGCCTTTATCTATTTATGTATATAAAATTGTTTGTCCTGACTGATTGACTGACCTATCAACTTACAGCCAAAACTATTGAGCATAGAAAGCTGAAATTTGGAACATAGGTTTATTTTATAACGTAAGCATCCGCTAAGAAAGGATTTTTCAAAATTTTAACTTTAAAGGGGGGAAATTGGAGGAAATGGGGGGAGGGAGCTTTTAATGAAACTCTTTGTTCTTTAAAATAAGAAACATGAAAATTTAAATTACAGCTACTAAGCATAAATAAAGACGTGTTTCAGGGTTTTTCGACTTTCACATTTTAAGGGGGGAAAACGGGGGGTGAAAGTTTGTATGGGACTATTGATTTTTTTTGTTCCCTTTGAGGTTAGAAACATGAAAATTAGAATTACAGCTACTGACTACAAATTATTAATGACGTGTTTTAGGGTTTTTGGATTTTCACATTTTAAGGAGGGAAATGGGGGTGAAAGTTTAGTTGGAGATATCGATTTTTTTAAGGTAGGAACTTGAAAATTGGAATTGTAGGTTCTCATCGTAAATAAATAAAGTGTTTCAGGATTTTTGCATTTTAACATTTTAAGGGGGGAAATGGGGGTGAAAATTTGTTTAATAGTATGTATATACTTTTTTGTTATTTAAAATTTGAAACATAAAAATTTGAATTACAACTACTGATTAAAAATCAAAAATAATGTGTTTCATGGTTTTTGGATTTTCACATTTTAAAGGGGGGAAAACGGGGATAAAAATTTGTATAGAAGTACAAATTTTTTGAACGTTGGAACTTGAAAATTATAATTGTAGCATAAATAAATAATGTCGTGCTCTGTGGTTAGATTTTTGTATGGTAGTATCATAAAAATAAAATAAAATTAAAAAAATAATTATTACAAATTAATAAAAATTAATTAAAATTAATAAAAATTAATTAAAATTAATAAAAATTAATAAAAATTATTAAAAATTAATAAAAATTAATAAAAATTAATAAAAATTAATAAAAATTAATAAAAATTAATAAAAATTAATAAAAATTAATAAAAATTAATAAAAATTAATAAAAATTAATAAAAATTAATAAAAATTAATAAAAATTAATAAAAATTAATAAAAATTAATAAAAATTAATAAAAATTAATAAAAATTAATAAAAATTAATAAAAATTAATAAAAATTAATAAAAAGTAATAAAAATTAATAAAGATTATTAAAAATTAATAAAAATTAGTAAAAAGTAATAAAAATTAATAAAAACTAATAAAAATTATTAAAAATTATTAAAAATTATTAAAAATTATTAAAAATTATTAAAAATTATTAAAAATTATTAAAAATTATTAAAAATTATTAAAAATTATTAAAAATTATTAAAAATTATTAAAAATTATTAAAAATTATTAAAAATTAATAAAAATTATTAAAAGTTAATAAAAATTAGTAAAAATTAATAAAAATTAGTAAAAATGAATAAAAATAAATAAAAATAAATAAATAAAAAAGAATAAAAAGGAATAAAAATGAATAAAAATGAATAAAAATGAATAAAAATGAATAAAAATGAATAAAAATGAATAAAAATGAATAAAAATGAATAAAAATGAATAAAAATGAATAAAAATGAATAAAAATGAATAAAAATGAATAAAAATGAATAAAAATGAATAAAAATGAATAAAAATGAATAAAAATGAATAAAAATGAATAAAAATGAATAAAAATTAATACAAATGAATAAAAACGAATAAGAATAAATAAAAATGGATAAAAATGAATAAGAATAAATAAAAATAAATAAATATAAAAAATATATAAAAATGAATGAAAATCAATAAAACTAATAAAAATTAATAAAAAAGGAAGTTACGTATTTTTTTATATTAATAACACAACTACATACGAGCAAAATGGCAAACAAAGTCGCGGGCAACAGCTAGTTCTCTATATATGTAAAATCCAAAAATGTTCTATAAAATATTGATTTTCAGACAAAATATGATTTGAAAAAGGTAGAATTATGTGTGTCGCACCCACCCTAAGGTTATTAACTACAGGATACATACAGTGAAAACATTATAAATATAAATACAACAGTTTAGATTTACAAAATTTGTGTTATATTTTGTCGATAAGGTTTGCGTCTTTTAGGTATTTGAACAAGTTTGTGGGAGTCTTCACCTAGTAATGTTCTTATGTTTTTAGAAAGGTTATAAGCATGCCTGGAATTAGTGTGTTTAGTACACTCTATTAGTATGTGATGTACTGTAAGGGGTGTATCGCAAAAATCGCAGAATGGTGGGCCTATATTCTTTAAAATGTGTTCGTATGTCAGTAAAGTGTGACCAATATTTGTTTGCTTTTTTACGTGGAAACACAATAGGAAACACAATAGGACCATTGTACTGTTTTGAATAGCGTTTTTTGAAAGTACGACCCGTTTGACTAATATATAATTTTGGACAACTACCACAATTTAATTTATATACTCCTGCTTCATTATTGGGATTAATTTTACTCTTATTTTTAATAAACTATTGTTTACTGCTATTTGTTTAATGCTATTTAATTCTTTTGTGAAATTTTCTTTGATAAGCGGGTTATTAAATAATTTTGTTTATATGGAGAAGGTGAACTAATTAATATGTATTATAATATCGGTATGTGATATGTTATGAAGTTAGGGTTTTTATAAAATATTTACAATAAACTCCTGATAAAGAAGACAATATTAGTGAAATGTGTATTCAACTAAAAATAAATCATACTTCCAAATTCTAAATTTTTTATTTACGTTTGTTCAATTAATATTTGCAAATATAGATATAATGTTTTATCTTATCTATTTAACTATTTATATGGTATATACCAGGGATGGCCAACTTTTCTGTATATAAGATCTACTTTTTATATTAAAAGTGTGTGTCGACCACATCCCCAACTAGCCATTCATAAAAGTGTATTTGTTGTGAAGTTCTCATCATCATCTATTGTATAGTCCAGGAGACAGTGACGATTTTCGGTATTTATTTTCCCAGTCAGCAAGCACGAATAGAGAATTGTAGGATTAGCAATTCTAAGCAAAATTCATATATATTTAGAGGGGGGATCCGATGGGCTGAGGCCGAAAATGCGTCAAAAAATACGAGAACACGGCCCTTTTGTTTTTCATTGATAAAAATAGTTTTAGTAGTAAGAGATGTACTGAAGTTAAGTAAAAAAATAGTCTGATTAATCTGTATGGATAATATATTTGGCAAGTGCATAAAATACACTTTCAAACGAGTTATGTACACAATTATTTCTACGACCACAATTATTTAAAGAATGTTCCAGGTGTTTTGTATATTAAAGTGTACGCATAGGACACATAAATAAAATCATATATCACAATGTTTCACCTAACCAGTTGGTTTATTTATAGAAATTAAACATAATAATTGAAGATATTACAGAAGAAAATAGGGAAATAAATTACATTTCCTTTTACACTTTTATATAATAATTATTTTATTTAGAATTCACGAATCACTTATTACTCTACATTAATTATAATTATTGTTAGTTTCGTTATATCAAATCATTTATACTAGAGGTGTGAGGAAAATACAGTGAACTGTGGAACGCCAATATCGTTGGATGCGCGTGGTAGAAATGGTCCTATAATACTGCTAAAAACATAGCTAAATTTTCATGGAAACACTGTACTTTTGACATTTGCGATACTCCGACGCATATTCATTATTGATGTAATCTCATGATTTTACAGTAATAGTTTTTGCAATTTTAGTGTGATTTTTAGGTTATTATGGTTATTCATTTTATTTGGTTCTGATCTTTTGCGCTTTTCAGGTAAGTTATTTGTAGTTATTTTTTACTTAAAAGGATAGCAATACGTCCTGGTTCGGGGTGTGACTTTTGGGTTTTAGCTATCTGAGCCAAATTGTCGGCTGTGTCCTCTTTTAGGGCACCCAGAACCGAAAACTATATGGGTATATGTTTTTTTTTTATTTTTTTTAATATGTATGCAGCTTGGATGAGGGCTTTAGGAAGAGATCCTAAGACTGAACACTGACTGCTATAAATGCCGTTTTTAGAGCACATTTCATAGTAAGTGATTTCATTCTAGCAGCAATGAGGAAACGTTTAAAAAACATGCTGTGCCAGCTATTTCTTTAAGACCTCGTCTCTTTAAGTTATTATTACTTCATTCTAATGCATATATTAAAATGGTTTTTAACTTATGTCCTTATGATTAAAAGATGTAGGTATTTTAGTTATGTTATAATAGAAATATATGATACTTTGTATTGACTGACCTACTGGCCACTGGTCATTCCACTTTTACTCCCTTTTTTCATAAATTATCAAATTATTTAAAAACAAATACATACCTAGCTATTTTCTGTACATTACATTAAAATTTTAGTATTAATACTTTACTAATAAAACTTCAGTTAATTTATCTTATATATATACACAACGGAAGAGTTAATTGGATTTTCTCCTTGTTGAGTTTCAAAAATAGTAATTTAACATGATTTAAAAACAAATACATGAAATGGGCAAAATAGGCCTGCAAAGGCACTTTGTAAACAATCTCACTTGTATCGATGTGATGTAATGCGCGAATTCAATCTGGCTTACTTTTGTTAATAGATTGGCGTTCCATTTTAAATATACAGTTCACCGGGAATAGATTATTTAAATATACACGGACCGGGAAAACAAGTACGAAAAAATTCACTGGCTCCTGGACTAGTACTGTATCGAAGGAATTTTTATGAATGAAACAATATACGACCCTCCACAATTGCGGTCTACTCTACTTCCGCTGTTGTCAGACATTTTTTTTTTTTGGACAATTTAAAGACCTAACAGTAATTCAAGCAAACGCAATAACATTACTACAGTTAAAAACATCGCAAACTTGGCATTAATATTTTAATTTTATCCAAATATTGCATTTATGTCGAGGATCGTCCGCGTTGACTTCAGAAATTGTGTAATCTGTATTGGTTATATATATCTATAGTTAAAAGCACGTAAACTTGGCATCAATGTTCAATCCGATTATTGAGTTTCTACCGCGGACACCACCGTTCATTCTTCAAAAATTTTGTAAATAATCCTATCTGTCTTGGTTATATATCTATGGTGTCGACGAACTTTGTTGCAATAAGCGTAGTTTAAGGGGAAAATAGGGGTGTGAAATGCATACTAAGTTTATACACTTACAGTATACGGTAGGGTTGGAACCTTGTTGAAAAATGAATAAAAAGGGCATCAGCTTATATTCTTTTTAATAAACCCCTGGTCCCAAGCTTCTAACTTAAAACGCAATTTCATTTTTTATCAACTGCAATGTAAAAGTTGAAATATAAAAAAATGTGCAGTATGGCTAACATTTTTAAGTTATGTCTTCTACAATCGCTTCTAAATCTATGGTATACGGAATTTCACCCCATTCCACCCCAGACATTGCGAGCGTTTGACGATCGACCAAAATTGGCTTCACGATCGGCTTGTTGGTCACCCCTGATATATACGCTAATTGTTCAACAGCGTATTTAAAAAAAAAAAAAATTGTATAATACATGCATGAATCAAGTAATATCATAATGGGTATGCACTTTAAAAGATAAGATTATGGAAAATCGAATGCATTTTTTAATACAACATGACTAATGTAAAAATCAACGGTACTTAATACGCAAGAAGTCAATGTGAAAGAACCAAAACATTACGAATTCTAAAAATAAATTTTAATAAATTTAAATTAATTATTAACGGAAATATCAGGAGACCTTGATAAATAGTCGACTATTTGTATTGTTTCTAAATTTTGAGTGTTTTTGATATCAATTTGTCGAGACATAAATTTGTCATTCATAATCTAAATAGTCTGAGAGGTTTTGATGGTATATATACATATATTTTTTATATTTACATTTTTACCTAAATATTCCTTCGCAAGATGGATCGGTGTACGCGGCAGGGCCCTCGGTGTGCATATGACATACCGTGATGTCTTTTAATTTTTTACTTTTTCCGACTTCTGTCATTGCCTTCAGTAAGTCAACTGGTGTGGCAGCAGCCCCCTGAGAGAAAACTGTGTCACCTGAAATTAAAATAACTTTTTTATAAAAAATAGACATGGCTTCAAACAATATCGATGGCTAAGAGGACAAATGCATGTCCAAAAATTACTATGACGAGCTGTATAGTTTATATTAGTATTACTTTACTAACTATAAACCATATCAAGTGGATATACAATATTTCGTGGGCTTACAAGCAAAAGGCATTAAGTCAAAAAATAAACTTTATGAGTTATAAACAATTTAAAGCTTCAATGAAGTTCTATTTTTTTATAAATTTAGGGATTATCAACTGCTTCAAAGAAAATGTACGTGCTTTCGGAATACAATGCACTGGTTTTACATGATATACAAAAATATAAACCCATTTTTTTTACTTAGTGCGTTTTGCTTGTAAACTCACTATTTGGAAACCATAAAGATTTCACCTCAAATGACATAAAATCGTATATATATACTATTTTCGACAAAAATGAACATACAATATTTGTCCTCTTAGCACTCGATATAGGAGTCAGATTATGAATATGCTCAAAAACTTTTGTTGGGGTAAAATTTAAAATACAATCTTAACTTTTTGTGATTTGAATCATTACATAAGGGGACATAATTCTACATACTTTTAATCCATATGTACTTGAGTTTTCATAGTGAATATTCTATCAATATTTTAAATTAAAATATTTCAAAAATTAACCTATGTAACATGTAACGTATTTTAATATGGGTGTTTACCTACTCAAGAAAGTGTGCTCTTTCATAATACATACAGTATGGTTCAAATGAAAGGAATAAATTCATTATAATGGAAGTAGTTGGTTTTTCGAAAAAGTGCTCGGACAGGTCAATTTTGTTTACTCAAAGCGCAGATTTTTAAATAGAATTCAATTTTCCCCCACTTCCCATTTTTGGGCAGTGACGTCATTGACAATTTTTTTAAATAGTAACCCCAATTTTTTTTTCTTGATTTTGTTAGATCTTGCAATTTCCTACTCGGAAACATAATATTTGAAATGTCTTACATAACAATTTTTTTTTTTGAATAAAAGTAATTTAAAGATTAGACACATAAATTTTATTTTATTTTGAGAACACAATAATTGATTAAAAGATAATTATTTGTAATTAAGTGCTTAATGTAACAAAATAATAATAATAATAATAATTATAATAATAATAAAAGAGAATTTGTGAAATTGTCAATAAATTCTTTTTATTATTATTTTTTTTTTTTTTTTTTTTTTTTTAGATGAAGCACTTAAATACAAATAATTTTTTATTCATTTATTGTGTTTCAAAATAAAATAAAATTTATGTATCTGATCTTTAAATGACTTTTATTCAAAAAAAATTGTTATGTCAGATATTACAAATATTATGTTTCCGAGTAGGAAATTGCAAGATCTCCCAAAATCAAAAAAAAAAAATTGGGGTTACCATTTAAAAAAATTGTCAATGACGTCACTGCCCAAAAATGGGAAGTGGGGGAAAATTGAATTCTATTTAAAAAATTGCGCTTTAATTAAACAAAATTGACCTGTCCGAGCATTTTTTCAAAAAACCAACTACTTCCATTATAATGAATTTATTCCTTTCATTTGAACCATACTGTATAAGGCGTCATTGATAATGTTGACGAAAGGGTAGCTTAGGGCATAGTGGGGCGGAGTAGTGGCAATGAATATATACATATAAAAAATGTTTCGAGTTAGAAGTATGTGGAAAATGTATATAGTTTATCCTCTAAACATTTACAGAGGTACTGCAATATAGGTTGTACAAAATAACTGAAAAAAGCCTGTAATAACTAGATAGGAAAGTCATGTGTTGGACATATCAGATTTTTATTCATATCACCCAATAAGAGGATTCAAACAAATCGAGAAAATGCTGTTCAAGCAACATCAACATCTTGTTTTGATTTATAATATTCAACGTAATATTTATATACGTGCAACACTTTCTTTCCTTTTGAGATAATTCCAAACATAAGGCGTAAGTACAAGAAAATTTGCCTAGCTTCAGGTGTGCTTAATTGCACGGTTTTTTTCAACACCTCTTTTTTATCTCACATTTTAAAAATCAGATAAACAATGTACAACGAACTAAGTTAATTTTCTAAAAGTTTATTCACAAATCTAGTCTGCTCCTGGCGGTGGTACTTCCAGCCACCTGCACTGCATTGAGTAGGAATCGTTTATAACTGCCGACGAGTTAGTCAAGACGCAGATTGTTTAGGAGTACATTCAACACGATAACGAAAGCGGATATACAAAATTTATAGGAACTTGTCATGTTACTTTTATCCTTAAGATTGCCAACATATACTGTGTCTGTGGCCATGGAGAAAATACAGTCTGTAACTCTGTTGGAACCTGGTTACAGAATATCATCTGTTTCGTCTAAACATCTGTCCATTTAAAGGACCAAAAAAGATGGATAGGCCGAAAGAAAATTTTCTGACTAATTAATAACTGGAAATGGGCCAAATTGAGCGTAAAACATTTATTTTTAACTGAAATGGGCGAAAGTAGTGTAGTACGTTTATTTCTAACGGATTTGGAAATAGAATTTTGTAGATATAGAGATGTGACATTATCATCAGCTCAGAAGTATGGCACTTTATCGACCATGTTATTTATAGCTTCAAATCCTCAAACAAATTACATTACGGGTCATAATGACTGACACAAGAACAACATTGGGTCTGGATATAATTGACCACAAAACAAAAAACAGGATTTTTTCAATTTGTATATCATTTGTTTTCACCAAAGGTTTTCAAGAATGTATTCTCATTATACCAACTGAGAGTACCAACTACTGATCTTTAGATATCACATAAAACTATAGAATATATCACATTCTGATTGTTAGTATATTAAACAAACTACGCACTGAAAAAAATATATTATTAAATTTATATATTTGTTTATAAAATATCAAATAAAAAAGAGTTCAAATCCCGTCTGATGCTTAACAAATTTCAAAATTATAATCCATTGATAATTACAATTATTTATTACTACGCCGGCTATTTTTACTTTCCTATCTGTATACAGATATAAGGAAAGTATAGGAATCATGATTTTTTTCGACCTCGAGTTTTCGACGGATTTTTACGTTTTGAGGTCCCCTGAATCCGTTTTGACTATTTTCGCGATGATGTATGTGTGTGTGTGTGTCTGTGTGTCGCATAACTCATGAACCGATACACAGAAAAACACCAAACTTCAAACTTAAGCTTTGTTCCAGCGTCCAATGTGCTGATTAGATTTTGGTCCATTTTGAAACATCTGGGGGGGTACTTTATAGGTGGTCATTTTTATATTTTATGGAATATATCTGTTATTTACGTTTGGGGAAGAAAATTCTTTAAATAAAAATTACTTCTTATATTATCTAAAATTTTTGTTCTATACAAAATTTTCCTAAAATGGTCCGTATTCGAGAAATTTGACAAAATGTAAAAAAATATTTTTTTATAAAAATTGTTCAAACAAAAGTTGTTTATAATATAATTCTCTATAATTTTTATCCTATACATAATTTCTCTAAAATGGACCGTATTTGAGATATTTGAGAAAATGTGTAAATTTCGAAATTTGAAGAAAACTCAAAAACGGATAAAGAAAAAAACATTAAATTTTAAACTAAGTTTTATTTCGGCCTGACGTGAAATGATTAGATTTTGGACAAAGTCGGAACATCTGGGGGGGTACTTTATGGGGGGCCGTTTTTATATTTTATGGAATATATGTTATTTATGTTTGGAGAAAAAAATTGTTCAAATAAAAGTCATTTCTAATATTATTATCTATAATTTTTGCTTTATGTCAAAATTTCCTGAAATGGTCCGTATTCGAGAAATTTGACAAAATGTGCAAAATTCCGATTTTTATAAAATTGTTGAAATAAAAGTCGTTTGCGATATCGATCTCTATAATTTTTGTTTATACATGATTTTTCTAAAATGGACCGTAATGGAAAAATTGTAGGAAAAGTGCTTAATTTAAATTTTTCAGTATTTTCATTTTCTATGAATATCTATAGAAAAATGTTTCGAGGTAGATGTATGTGGAAAATGTATATATTTATTTTATCCTCTAAACATTTATGGAGGTGCTGCAATAGGTTGTACAAAATAACCGGAAAAGGCCTGTAATAATTAGATATAGTCCAATTAAATAACGAAAAAAAGCCCCTTCGAGCTTACATTAATTTGTAATTGGATGAAACAAAAAGGACCTTGTGTATTTTGATGTGATCTTTCCGAAAAAAAGAAAAAAAAGATGTAGCAGTTTTTTAATTTTTTTTAAATTAGGAAAAACCGGGTTTTCCATTGTAAAAATGCTAATTATCTGGGCAAGTATCATTCCGATAGTGAAAATAAATGCACCATTCGAAAGAGGAGGCAAAAATAGTTCGGAAATTCATTGCACAGGTAGTTTTAATGGCGAATTTCTCGCCGCCAGAAGTGCTTTTACCAAAAAGTCGTTTTTTCGTTTTTTTGATCAGAACCATGGACATGAAATTTGCGATGAATTTGTGGCGACATTATAAATGTTAAGACATATGTGCCCATGAGAGAAGTTGCGTATTTTTTTGTTGGCTCTCAAATAAAATAAGTCCCGCGGCGAAATCTGACATAATTTTTCGGGAATTCGCAGGAAACCAGAGGCGTAGTTTTTTTTAATTTTTTTCCCATGTGATTTTTTCCGGATTTTCCAAAAACATCTAACAAAATGAATATATTTGAAAAAACTAACTTCGCCATCGAAAAGAGCACAAAAAAATACACAAAAAGGTATACTTTAAAAATGTTAGGAAATTAATCCTAAGCCTGAGTGTAAGTTCCAACTTGGTGATAAGCTTGCTTTTTGTTCGCTAATATCCGGTAATTCTATATTTTGCACAAAACTCAAGAAACGTCTTATAACAAGTCAGTAAAATACAATTTAATAAATTTTAAGCCTAATAAATTTAGATATGCAAGAAATTTAAAACTGGAAATCGCAAA